GAACGAAGGGAGCAGCCAACGAACTCCCAATCAAGACTCTTGCGGAAATGGATGTCTTTAATCGATTTATCTTCCTCTTATTTCTTGAAACTTATTTTTTTGTCTTGTTCCCTTTTTCTTATTTTAAATGCTCTTTTCTCTTTTGTTTTTATATTACTTGCATTTCAGATATTTACGTTGAATCTCTTTTTCTTTGTGTATTTTTCGTATCAATGCGTATTTGTTACCCTAGTAAAGCTTTTTCTGACACGAATCTCTCAGGCATTTTCTCCTGTATCTAACTATGCTTTTTAGAAAAAATAGCAATTATTATATTGAAATTAAAATCGTTGTATTTTATGAAATTACTTTTCTTTCTTTTAAAATTAAGAATTGTGAATATGAACTCAGAATTTTTATTTAACTTAGAATATTTTCGCTTTAAATAAGATATTAATATGATTTTAAAAATATATATTTAAAAATAATGCTGCTTACTTTTATGATAAATTTTTGTACATTCTCATGAAAGCGAATTATTTTTTATTTTATATTACTTTTAACAAATAGACAATCTCCCTGTGCCCTTGAAGTTGGTCATCTGCCCACTTTCATTGTTTTGCACAATGAATGTCTGCGTCGCTGTGATTTCCAATAAGAATAGCCCATTATATTTCAAAACTTTGAATCAAGAGGAATCGCTATCATTCAAGTTTCGAGTTTATGGTACTTTGGATATAATTGATGATAAAGTCAGCTCCAAAAGTTTCAAATCCTCCTACACTGATAAGGAAGTTACCCACAAATACTTGGGCTTGCTTTACCCAATTGATGACCATTACATATATGGATATATTACGAACACACATATAAAGGTTTGTCGTTATTCGTTTGTCATTTAAGTATGTTTAGTTTATACTTATACAAGAGAGCCATTCCACCGCCGCTGATTTACCAAAATCGAATGCCCCTAGTCATACCGATGCCGACATTAAATCCATTTTCGAAGAAATTCACAATGCGTATATACGACTTGTTTCTTCCCCATTCTACGTTCCGGGCACACCTATTGATCCTTCCTTATCTTGTGCTGCTAGAAAGTTTGACCAAGTTATTGAGCGGATTCTTTCGGTTTCTCCGGCAAATTCCAAGCCCTGATATGTTAATTTTTTGCATATGGTTCTTCTCTTAATATGTCTTCTTTTGCAACTGTGATGTAGGTCTTTATTTTGTACTTTTTTGTGTGCATTAGCTCTGACTATCTGAAGGATATTTCACATAAAAAGAGTAAATGATATTTTGCAAATATTTACTTGTTTATTCTTTTGATTTTTCAAGATGCAGTCCTTTCTGCACTGGATCTCGACATTCTAGATTATTTCACTTGCATCACTTTGTGTTCATTTATATAATAAGAGGTTGCCTTTCTTTTTTAGACAACCGTTCTTATGTATTTCTGAGCAATGTTTAGGCACTAAATGATTTTTTAAATTGGTTTGAGTCTACTCCAGTATTTATGAGCTTGTAGTTCTTTGTATCAGAATTGGAATGTGGTAGTTACTTCGTTGTAGCTAAACAGTAGATGAATCGACCTCTTCGTAGCAAAAGAATTAATTAGATGTATCTTCCAATAACCTCGTTAACAATGTAATAAAGGGGCATGGTTTGTCTCCTCGCTCTGAGTCTGAGTGAATTCTTACCTGACGAATCCAATTGGTGGATATATTATAGCAACGGAGGTAGATCTACTAGCAGTTAAGTAGCCTGATAGAGTGTTTTCATTGTACTGGGGAGATTCTACACGCCAGGCAACTTAGAGGTGGATTGTGAAGTAAAGTCCGCATTTTTCCGTTTTTTTGATGATGAAGAGGAGGAACTTGAATTTTAGGCTACAGAGATATCCTTGCTTTTCTTCTTACTGGGCAAATTAATATCAAGAGTTATTCATCTTCACGTTCAAATAGTATTTGCTCTAGGAACATTAATGAATCACTTTCGATAGGTTGGACTTGATAAAAAAGTGGGTAAGATGGGCTATTAACAAATATTAGAATGATACGGAGTTGTTTGAGAATATACTCTAGTAAGTTGATGGGTTTTGATACTGTTGTCGTTCATGTCGTCATACGAGGAGGTTTCTAGCTGAGGCAAATTTGATGGATAAAATTTTCCCTTAGCAGCTGAGGTCAATGAATATTGATAGTCTCTGGGTGGATATACTTGTTTCAAGAAGGAAAAAGCGTTGAAGGTCGGATAAACGAAATTGATCAACGCACTTTGCGTATCTTTATGTCAAGATAGGGGTGTCTGTCTCCTTTACATCTTTGAAACACTCTTCTATCCCCCCTCTCAACTTTTTTTTCACTTTGATGTAACTTCCCCTCTGTAAAGCCTGAAGTCAACTAAAGGGCTAATGATAACTATCAAGATATCTGCCATTTGGTATAAATAAATGTCTTAAGAGAAATGAAATGATCATATCGAATGATTTATGATTTCGGCTTTCTTATAAGAAACAAAAAAATCTTATTTATTTTCTCTATACAATAGTGAAACGCAACATTAAAAAACAAATATACATCAAATTAAATCATCAAGATCAATTACTTTGGCGTCTATAAATAAGTGTTTGTGTATGCTATACACGAACAATCTTTCTCATATTTAAAAAGGCTGTCAGTTGCAATAATAAATAAATCGTTGTATTTTAACTATTAATATTATGACAAATTTTATCAAACTTATACAAGAATGGACTAAGCATTGAATTTTATTTCGAAAATAAAAAGCGCGTGATAGCGAAGCAGTAAGAAAAAGGTAAATTGCACTATAAAAGGAAAAGTGATAGAAATGCCGTATTTTCTTCTTAATCTAAGGATTAAATAAATTTTTAACAAATGATGAAATTAGATAAAGTAGAAAAGACTAAAATAAGGACGGTTACTAATTTGGTATGGAAGCAATGTTGATGAGAGTACAACTGGTAAGAAAAGAAGTATTGGATTTAAACCTCTGAAATTTGCTTGATTGCATCCTTGCTTGTTATTGCAATAACAATACCGAGCAATGACTCGTCGGGTCCCTTCAACCGTATGACACCACCTTCCTTCTTCACCCCCAATTTCACCCTCAACGGCACATCCTCTTTCAATTCGTCGAATCCATTTTCGATCATAATAAACTAAAATGAACGGCATTTAAGATATCTATTAGGTCAAATTAAAATATAATTTTTGCCATTTTAAAGCACCTACATTCTACTAGCTTCTTCATACAACGTGAATAATTTTGTCCGTTGTCTGGGCATGGTTCAAGTATAAATGTTCTATTATCGAATGGGTCTGCACAGTGAGGTTGTGTTCTTGAGTTACATTGATAGCATTTGAGTTTCGAACCAAAACCTAGATACTGTGCGTCGCAAATCATGAAAATGCAAACGACAAAAGTGATGTAATAAATGAATGAATAATTCATGGTCACGAAACCCGGTAAATGTTTCAGGTTGCACCCGAAATAGGCGTTCGGGACAGATAAATATTCCTTGGTACAGAAAAACAATTATAATATAAAAATAAAATTCTGTAACCTTTTACAATAAAATGTTAAAATTTTAATATTTATTCAATGGTATAAGATTTTCTTATTTGACAAATGTTTAATGCATTTCGTTTTGCAAATTCTTAAATATGGAAGAGAAGCGTCAATGAATTTATGAAATCAACGTAAAGTTCCGATGAGTAATAGTTAACCAGATATTTCAGTTCATATTTTAGATTTATTTTTAGCTTGTGATTGAATCAAAGAGACTGAATTAGTGCTTACAATTATAATTTTTAGTTAAATTTCATAATAATCAATAATTAAATACTATTATATTAAATATGCTGAATGAAGTTAACTAGGGGGCAAGACTGCTACCTAGATTTTTTATACAGTGTGGATTTACTTATCAAATTGTTTTCTCAAGCACTCCACCGCCATAGATATAGAGGTTCATCTGGATCGGCATTAGTTAAGACTGAATGCATTTTACCAAAAAAGTTAAATTTATTAGACTGAGAGTGAAAGGTTTCTGCAACTATATAAAACGTCATACATATTAGAAATAGGTGATTAAAACATTTTGTTAGGATTTATTCAATCAAGCTACTAGTCTGCTGAAAGCTTACCAGATTAATGCTACATCGTCGGAAAAGAGTGGAAACAACTGATGTCTTCCTGACCGATCATTGTGATGAATCTGTCCGCAGTAGATTGTCTTTGAGAAAACCGAAATGAAGCCTACTTTCAAGTTTAAGTAAGCTATACTTCCTTTCGGATCAAAATTTATTCTTCCTCAGAATATTAAATTGAATACCGCAATTTACCGTATATATACATTTTCATTAGAAGAAATGTATCTATATTGGAGGCACAAAATTAAATTTTCCCATTAACTATTTTATGCAAGCTATTAATCGATAATATGTCATAATTCAATTTCTTTGCTAATGAATAAGATGGTAATTCTCCCTAATTGAAGGTAATTTTTCTGTTTAAAGTAGCAACCGGCTCAAAAACGAACAGTTGTTAAAGAAGCGAGTCCATAAGAGCTAGTAAAGCTCACCACGATATAAAATGGGTTGTTTGATTAAATGTGCTAAATTTTTATAAGTCATTCACGAGACACGCAATAGCGCCACCACTAAATAGTTCAACTGCGTGTCGCATATAATACTGCTTGCCACAACAGAAGTAGATTGTGCTTTATTGCTGATAAGTCCCTTGCACCCTGCAATTCGGTTGGGTTTCCGGGTTTTAAGTTCGCAGTTACTTAATGAATTTGTTGGCAGATATTTATGGGAGCAAATACAGATAGAAGGATTTATTTATTTCAAATGGCAGGCGTTATAATAGGTATCATTAGCCCTTTAGTTGACTTCAGGCTTCACAGAAAGGAAGATAAATATCAAAGTGGCAAAATGTCGAGAGGGGGACAAAATAATGATTCACAGACGTAAAAGAGACAGACTGACACAAAGATAGAAAAAGGTGAGGTGAGTACTGTGAAATTATTCGAATATGAAATGCAGTGGGGTCTTGGTAGTTTGAAGAAGAATAATAGACTTTTTTGCAGTATGAGTATACGTTGCCCAGGGTGCACCACGTGGAGGTAAGTCTATCGCACACCCCCAGATAGAAGGATGAAAGTTACAGTTAGGAGAGTGTGCTGTTTAAGGGCTTCAGCAACAGTGGATGGACAGCAAAGTTAGGAAAACAGTTACGTGATGGTATTGAAAAGTGAAATATATTCACCTCTTGTAAGGTTAACACTGCGAATCAACTACTCTTCAATTTTAGTGTAGAGAGATGGCTATTTTACTGTATCTCACTAGGTATCCTCAGAACTAAAGAAAATTTTTGATCTTTTTTTAATTACTCTAATGCAACCATATAAAGCTGTTGAAAGTTATGCGTCACAATTTAGGTCCTAAAAGAGGACGTTTCTTCATGGAATAGCGACATTATCGTAGATTTCATATCCTAAACCACTTTGGCAACCAACCAAGTAATCTCAACGCACGAATTCAGCATGTTAGAAAGTCATTCTCAATGCGTGTTTCTTCAAATTTAGTCATTGCTATCTGAACTGTGAAAAAGATGATAGAGGAGAATTCCTTCAAGACCTTGCAATTACATTTTTGACACTTGAAATTCATTTCCCAGCTCCAACTTAAATGTGATTAACTAAATTTTCATACGATTCCTTCAGCTTGGCCAATGCTTGCTATCTTTATTAATAAACGGACATTTATATGTATGTTAGGGGGCTCCAATAAGTAATCATGCATTTTAAAAACAATATTAAAAAGTACGTATTGCTAAATTTTCGAAATTCACAACTCCTTCCTATTGGTCTTGTAATTTCCAGATTATCAGCCAAATAGTTAATTAGGTGGCATTCGAGTATAGCCGCATTTCGAAATAGTTTCCCTTTAAGTGCATGCATCGTACCTCTCTGTCTGATTTCTGAACCTCGAAGAAGATCATTCTGACTTTGGGGGGGGGGGGGGGGAGGAGGTGGGAAGAATTTATTGACACGGTGGAGAATTGTCCTTTTACTGTCACATAAATTTACCCGCTTGCGTTTTTAATTTACAATTTAGCCTTCTCAACTGTTACTACAATAAAAGTGGACTGTAGGTATTTCGCTCGGTTTGAGCAATACGTATTGGATTATTCCACAATCCACGTACATCCCACTAAATGCATGGAGAAAGTTCCAAAGGGTGCGTCCTGGCATAGGAGGTGGAATGGATGTTTGATTTCGAGACAGACATTGTTTTTCCACACCAGTGTTGGGAGCAGAAGGACGATTTCCACCATTCGTTATCATACCGGGAGAGTTACTCCTGTGTGATTTCAGTGTTAGTTTATTTATTTATTTCAAACGGGAGGCGTTTTGATAGTTATCATTAGACCTTTAGCTGACTTTGGGCTTCACAGAGAGGAGGAGGAACATCAAAGTGGCAAAAAAGTAGAAAGAAGGAATAGAATAATGATTCATAGATGTGAATAAGACAGACAGACACAAAGGCACAGAGAAGGTAAGAAGAGTACTGTGGAAGGGGTAGAATATGGTATATGGTTCATAGTAGTTTGAAGCCCGGAATCAACTGCCGGTTAACGGACCTTTTTGCACTATGAATATACGTTGTCCAGGGTGCACCACGTGGAGTGGTCCGTTGCCCTCTGGTACTGAAATTAGCGCATTATTTCATCAAATTTAAATCTTTCACGCCAAAATTGACATTAGCGAACAGTAGGCAATAGTCTGTTAATTTCATTAACGACCTTAGTCGCTTTGGGGCGTCCAAGCCCTAGTCAACGAAAAGGAGAAGGATATAGGGCTTGGACTTTCATTCTTCACTATTAAATGAAATTGATTGGTCATTAATAGTGCTGTTAAATAAAAGGAAATTTCTCATTGGTATTCCTGATATTTGATCACAAAATAATTCTAACTTAACATAAGCTTTAAAGCTCGATATTCCAACGAGGAGGTTGGGGGGGGGGAGGTTTAGCGTCAAGGATTAAAGTTTAAGCGTAATGGATATTGATTTTCTCAAAAACGACATGTTAATTTATTAACGTTTTTCGAAATTAAAATTCCGCTTTAATACCTCTAAAACCAGAAGAAAGCATACAATGATGGAATAAACTAGTTCTCTAGACATTACCCAATTCGGTTCTACCTCGGTTATGGGATTCCAAGCTACAAATTTATCTCGTTAGAAGTGATGCAAGGCGCTTTATTGATCTAATAATGATTAAATTTCGAGTGAAATGGAAGGAATTTTTCGGCGTCTCCCTGGCGTAGGCACTGCAATTCTATTACCAATATTCATTTATATCAAATGACAGGCTTTATAATAGTTATCACTAGACTTTCAGTTAACTTCTGGCTTTACAGAAGAGAGGAACATCCGGGTGGGGGTGGGTAGAGGGTTGGAATAGAAGAGTGATTCACAGATGTAAAAGAGAGTGACTGGCACAAAGGTAGAGAAAAAGCTAAGTTGAGGTGAGTACTGTGGAAATGGTCGAATATAACATACAGTGGGATCGTGGTAGTTTCAAGTCAACTGTCGATTTATAGATATTCTTTTCCGTTTGATTATACGTTGTCCAGGCTGCATCACATCCTCTATTACTAATATAGTGGTTAATAAATACAAACTTAATTGCAACGGAAAAGCTGTAGGCTTGTTCAAACTTAAATGAGAAATCGATGGAATTACTAAGAGGAAGAATAATCCTCGAATTCCTCCCTTGCAGGTGAAATGAATCACCAGAATGAAGAGATGTTCCATCGACCCCGAAAATGAAGCTCCACAATAAAGGCGCTACCTAAGGATAGAATTAAGCAAAATGGCTGAATATTTCACCTCGCAAATGGTCAATATTTCCCGTAATTATCATCGACATTTGATTGGTCCTTTCAATTACAATCTGAACTAATATAGCTGATATAACGAGTATTTCTGTGCTTTTCTTCCCTAGGGCTGCATATTCGATGGGGTACGTCGGACAAAGACCGTTTGACCATTTCAATTACTCAACGTGACTGGGTTGATAACCTGAATTTTGACTTAATAGGTTTTAGGAGGGGAATTATTTATACGTGAGTGGAAGACGCCATCGTTGACTGAAATTCCACCGCAGAACACACCTTCTGTTTGCGTGATGCACAAATAGTGCAACCATGTAAAAGTTCAGCCAATCTTGACTTGAAGCAATGTGCATCTGTGTACTTTTTTAAATCTAATAATTTCACACAGAAACATGCATTGTGAACAATTTTAGAATGAGATATATTGTTAACTGGCAATTACGGGCTAGGTGCACAAATGAAATTTTCCATTTTATCGATTTATTTTATGATGATCAAAGCTAATTTACGTCTAAAAAGTAGTAGGAGTATTAAGGCAGTAATGAATCACAAGACAGTGTGTTTGTGTGAACGATCCAAGTTATACCATTGTAAGCAAATTGATTTTCTTGAGGATCATGTCATGTCACAAGATTTGACTTGTTTACAGCCTCCAGGATGCTTTCGTGGATGGATCAAGCCTCTCTTCCAAAATTAATGTCTAGTTAATTCTTCAAACCAAACTCTCATTCAAAGTCAAATTCTGCTCTGGAAATCATTATGGCATAATTTCAGTTTTTTCCTGTAGCATACTTTGTTCTTATCAATTTCAAGGCCACTTAAAATCATGATAAGAGTCAAAATAAGAGGGAGAATATACCTGTTCATTAGTGGGTCTATTTAATTAATTTTGAAATTGCTAAGCGTGGGGGCGACAATACGTCTTATTAGAATCACATGTCCATTAAGATAATAATAGTAATAAGAAGAAAATAAGGCTGAACAGACATTATATCAGGTAAACTGAAAGGAGATATGTAGTCATGGATAACTTGATAACGTACAATGTCTTTTTCGAAAATTTCTTAAGCTATTAAGTGTATTCCAATAAGAATATCAATCGATATACACCGCAATTAGGTCACATAGCTCAGATCGATTTTTTTAATAATTGTGCTATTGGTTTGCCATACTACTTGGAAGTTAGGAAGCTGGCTTGGTTTGGGGCGGTCTCGAACTAGGGGTGAAAGAGAGCTTGTCCATCTGCTACTATGGGGAAAAAGGTCTGCCGGCGTGGTTGTAAGTCGATGAAGCCTCAGAAAACTACAAAGGAAATGTCAATTCACTTGAAAATATTCAAAGCCTAAAATGGATAAAATAGAATAAAATTACAATTTTGAATTAGAGGGAGAAATGATCGCTGAACCCTCAACACCTCCCACCCCCACCTCTGCACCCAAAGTGCACGGATCAAGTTTATCAATCATCTCTTCTGCGGTTCAGATTTATTGAATTTGAAAATTTCGAACACCTGTTAAGCCCACATTGAAAACCTCAATTCGTGAAACATCTGTTGGTATTCTCTCTTGGGAAAAAGGTGTTCTAGGCAAATTAGAAAAGAATTTTATAGGTTAGAAGATTGAATATTTTGAATGTAAATATCCAAAATTGGAATGAAATTTAACAAACATAATAACATCTTTTATTCTGGTGAAAAATCAAAATCTGTTATTATAGACTTCAGTTATTCATCGTTATTATTATTATTATTTTAAAGTGAAGAAGAGAATTTATCACTTTAAAAATCTATTCTTAAAGCAGTATTGGAATTATAGATGAAATTCAGTTTACGTTTCCATTAAAAGTCGATAATCGACGTAAAATTCGAAAATGACCTGAACTAACACTATCCAATATTTTAGACGTTCAAAATCCAATATTTGCTGGCCTTTATACAAACCAGTGCTTAGAACCCCCTCAATATCCACTTTATTATTTAGGACAACAATTGGCTTATTCACAATGCGACTCAACTTAAGCAAATAGGTGTTTTGACTTAATAGTTGAAACACGGGAAGAGAAATATATTCTTTTCGTGTAAACTTTGAGATTTCCTTAAACATTAATCAGATCAAAATAAAGACCACTTGGTAGTACGCTTAATTGCACAGTGGGATCAAAATGGCTCTGAAGAGGTGGTCTATTTGTAGATTTATTGCCCTTCTGACGGGTAATATGATGAATGACCCTCTGATTTCTCAAGGTTTTACTACTTTACTATATTTTCGATTATTTTTTGACAAATGGCTTCAATTTTAACTGATAATTTACATTGGGGGTGAGCGATAGACTTACCTCCACGTGGTGCACCCTGGGCAACGTATACTCATACGGCAAAAAAGTCTTTTAACTGGCAGTTGACTTCTTACATCAAACCACCATCACCCCATATTCTATCACTTTCACAGTACTCATCCTACCTTTTCTCAGCCTTTGTGTCTGTCTCTTTTACAACTGTGAATCATTCTTCTGTTCCCCACCCCTCGACCTTTTGTTACTTTGATGTTCCTTCCCCCTGTGAAGCCCATGATAACTATCAAAACGCCTGTCAAGTCAACTAAAGGGCTAATGATAACCATCAAAACGCCTGCTATTTGAAATAAAAAAATAAATATTTTACATTGGAAACAGATTAGGTCTGTTAGATGAATTTAAGTGGCATTAGATATCATGAGCAACAATTTGTTCACTAATTCAAGTGGCCAATCAAAAAAATGCAAAGTAAGTGGGCATTGAATAACCCAACCCACCAGGAACCAATGGACGCATGACTCGTTGATGGCTTTGTCACCATCCCAACGCCCTTCTGACACCTCTTCTATACCAACAATGAAAACTTGCATTGTTTTAATTGCTTTGGATGAAAACTTGCGTCGAAGTCGAGTAGATGGAGTTCCAACTGCTTGGAATCACTTTTACGAAATGAGAGCTTTGCAGATCTTCTACGATGCCTGCTACAAAATTGGGGGGTCAATTCTAGTCTACAAGATGTCAAATGTCTGTAAGGAGGGAATGTTGGTCTCATTCAATGTGTGCAACAGCAACAACTAGTAGTGAATTTAGGCTATGCTCACAGGTTGCGCCAGTTATTTACGCTGAGTTAAGCAAAAGTTTCCACCAACGATTAACTATTATCTAGGCCAAGTTGTTAATTAAATTTGTCACTTTCAATTCGGCTAAAGTTTCATGGCCCATTTTCCAAGTACATAAGGAAAAGTCCTGGTAATGATTGGCTTGAGAAGATTGAAGTTATCTTTGTGGCTGATCCACAGCATAATTAATTGTGATTGGCCACCCAAAACTCGACTTGCTCCAGTTACCTTGACTAGCGTAACCTCTGACTTATTAGGTGACATCACAGTGATCACCTCCTTTTCTTTCCTCCACATTCTACCATTCCCTCCCCCTCCCCTCCTCCTCGCGCAGCTCAACTTGTAGACTAATTCATGAAAGACAATTGTATCGCGTTGCCCAATTCATTGTGTCTAGTGGGGTTAATTCACCACCCGGATTCAATGCCACGTCATCTAATTCAATCAGAACATTTTACACATGGATAAAACGCTTCATTCGTCGTTACAAGGATGAAAAATGGCTTTCACGTGATTATGTTTATCATTTAACTAAAAGTTCCCCCCCCTCCCCCCATTTGTTCAAAAGGAATATTTGGACCACCCGTGAACTGTGAAATCTTTTTCCCTCAAAGATTTTGTGAGCACTCAACCGAATTTAAACTACCCTTCTTTTTTCCATATTTATGTTCAAAGTTAACTTTTCATTCAAATTTAAAGAAATAATTGATTATTGCTAATTCCTACTTTTTTCCTAACATTTTTCTTCAATTTATAAGAGGAAAATCACCAGGGTTCCCACACTTCTGAACTGGTAGATACACGTACGCCAAGTGATCTACGGGCAAAGGACCCAGAAATTTCCGAGAGAATACGTTTTGACTTATGCACATTGTAGTATATAGCAGAGATGTACAGTATTATGACAGTTATGCAATCTGATATTCATTGATTCTTATTAAAAGTTACCCTTTTAGTCAATAGTCTTGATGAAATTTGGTCAGCTTTACGTCGTTGCATCCTATGACTCAACCCTCTATCTGTCATCGCTAAACAAGTTAGTTTAATTTGGAGGGGTATGCAATAGACTTACCTCCATGTGATGCACCCTGGGCAACGTATACTCATACGACAAAAAAGTCTATTAATCGGCAGTTGACTTCTCACTTCAAACTACCATGACCTGACTGTATGTCATATTCGACTACTTTCACAGTACTCACCTCACCTTTTTTCTACCTTAGTGTCTGTCTCTTTTACATCTTTGAAACACTTTTCTGTCCCCCCCCCCTCTCGAATAATTTTCACAATGAAGTCACCTAAAGGGCTAATGAAACTATCAAAATGCCTGCCATTTGGTATAAATAAATAAGTTTAATTTAGAAGTGAGTCTACATTCTTGCCCCTATTTGTGAACTTGCCCGATTGACTCCTATAATTTACTACCTTATCCCCCCCCCCCCCCCCCCCCCCACGCTGAAACAAAGTTGTCATTCATGAGCTCTAGCACTATACCCCCATCTCCTCTAGTCACTCACTCTCCTACACTCAAATACACATTATCATTTATTCAACACGGTCTTTGTGTTCCTCCCCTTGAAACACATGCTTGCCGTCGCTGGCTGTCACCTATTGGTCTCAGCTTCTACAAGCTGGTTTTCCGACAATACAGATGTATACTCATACGACCAAAAAGTCTGTAAACCGACAGTTGATTTCCCACTTCAAACTTCTGTGACCCACCTGTATGTCATATTCCACAACTTTCACAGTACTCACCTCACCTTACCTTTTTTCCCCACTTCTGTTTCTATCTGTCCGTCTATTTTACATCGGTGAATCATTCTTCTGCTCCAACCCTCTCTCCCCCTCAACTTTTAGTGACTCTGTCTGTTCCTCCCCTCTGTGAAGCCCGAAGTCAATTAGAGGTCTAATGATAACTATCACAAAGCCTGCCATTTTGGCGCGGATAAATTTTTCAAGGGTTGAATTATTCTGCACGTTTTTACTTAAAGAAGAAAATAATTCATTTTAATTTTAAAGGCTATTAATGAAGCAATGTTGAACAAAAAAAAATGCTTTCCAACCACGACCTAACATTTTAAATTTTAAGGGTAAAAAATGCACCACTGTGGAATGCTGATATTTTCTAATTGATAAAGTATGCTCCTTTCAGTAATATTTAAAGGTAATTCCAATGAAGAGAAATGGCTTCACGCACTGCCAAAACAACATTCCATTGGTGGTGAAATGGTGGCTAATGCAACCCATTATCTTTCGCCTACAAATGCTTCACAGTTTTTTTTACCGTTCAATTGTTGGACGGCTTCAGTTGGCAGGCATGGTAATTTTCGAAGCATGATTCTTCTTATTGGATATGGAAGTTGTAACTAAAATAAATAAATATATTGAAAATATTTATTGAGGCCACTGTATTGCTAATGGGACTTAAGAAATAGCACCTTCTGGGTTAGTTGGTAAGGTTGGGTAAAAGCAGTAAATAGCAATGTTTTAATTGGAATTACGATTTTTATTCTCAATTTAACTAATTTATACTCAATCATTTCCCTTTAGGTGGGAGCAAATGCGTGATTGGGTATAACGACAAAGATATGCATAATATTGTTGGTGGTGGGGCGCGCGATAGACTAACTTCCACTTGGTGCACCCTGGGCAACGTATACTCATACGGCAAAAAGTCTATTTATCGGCAGTTGACTTCTCACTTTAAACTACCATCACTCCACTGTAGGTCATATTCGACTACTTTCACAGTACTCACCTCACCTTTTTTCTACCTTTTCTACATTCGTCTTTGAAACACTCTTCTGTCTCCCCCCCCCCCCCCCGACTTTTTTCACTCTGATGTTCCCATCCCTCTGTGAGGCCTGAAGTCAACTAAAGGGCTAATGATAACCATCGAAACGTCTGCCATTTGATACAAATAAATATTGTTAGTGCTAAAGCTAAAAGGAGCCTTTTATCTAGTTATAAGTTGAAATAAATACCGTAAAACTCCGAAATTAAGCGCAAAATGAAATTAGATTCTTTAAAACGAGAAACTTATCCCAAAAATCCTTTCAATTCCCCAAAAATTAACTTGGAAATAGCATTTATTGAGTTTATTAGTTTCACTAGAACGAAGTATTGTACACATGCTTTACGGTAGGTTTCGATGCTATTGATGACCACCGAGATTAATGGCTTTGTGTAAGTATCATGAATGTCAAAGAATTGTCGCTGTCACTTCGACCAATCACATAGGCAAATCGAGCATTTCTATTTGTGTGATAAGTTAGTCTAAAGGCTTTTAACCTTGAGCCACAGAATTATAACTGGTAAAACATTTAAACAAGCGAGGCGATTCAAACTGCGTTAGCTATTTTTACTGTCAGTCTGTTAATACAAGGTTTCGAAAGTGTGTCCAAATAGAAATTGGAAATTCTCGATAGTGCACAGGAAGTACAAATGTGAACTTGACATGCTACGAATGAGATTTGCAGCGGTAGAGGTTTTATGGTGCATGGTATGTCTTAGAAGATGGCTTCTTTAATTTACACAAAACAGACCTCTGAAATAGCAGTTTTTTTCTTTATTAGAATCAATAGACGCGTTCATGCACTCGCCTGTCTCCTAGCTATATGGTTAACTGAGACTTGTGCTTGAATGGTCGTTTGAGATTTACAGGCAGCCGTCCAGTGCTGAACACGGCAGTTACTCAAGCCCCTTGGATGCTTGATGAACGAGAGAGTTTGGTTATTGAGTTGTGGAATAGAAACTGCGCAAGCCAAAGTTAGTGTTTGAGCGAAGTTTGCATTCAACGTTTTTTTAATTAGTAGCATGATAGACTGAATTCCAATGATGTTAATTATGCCACTGCAAACCAATCAGCTACCTACCCTTAAGTTGACAATTGACACAATTAAACAACTGTAATTGCAAAATGCAATTGGAAATAGTGGAAAGGGAATGCCAACTCAGGTTCTCGAGGTTAGTGTATTACAAAAAACACTCAAAGGCAAAGTTTGAATACATTTTAGCCTTTAACAGTGAATTACTCTGATTGAAAAAAGTTAAAATAGATAAACGGATTACTAGATGTCTGTTATGGCTTTTGAGACTATGTTTTTCGAAACTAATTTGATTTTGAAGAGGATAGGAAATGTGACCCGAGTAAGTCTTAATCAAGGAATATCTTATAGATAATATAACGATGAGCAGATCGGGATGTGCGATAGACTTATCTCTACGTGGTGCATACTGAGCAACGTATACTCGTTCGACATAAAAGGCTTACCTACCGGCAGTTGACTTCTGACTTCAAAATATCATGACCCGACTCTATGTCATATTCGACCACTTCCACAGTACTCACCTCGCTTTGCCTGTATGTCATATTCGACCACTTCCACAGTACTCACCTCGCTTTGCCCTTTTTCTCTACCTTTGTGTCTGTCTATCTCTTTTACATCCGTGAAACACTTTCTTTTGTTCCCCGCTCGACATTTTACCACTTTGATGTTCCTCCTCCCCTCTGAGAAGCCCTACGTCAACTAAAGCGATAATACTAACTATCAAAACGCCTGCCATTTGAAATAAATTAATGATGAGCATATCTCGGCACATTGGCTTAAAGCCTGCGTCATTATTAGTCCAGGTGACGGAGAGCTCTCTTGCATTGTCTAGTACTAATTTTTAGGTTTGTGACGTCATAATAGACTGCGGCTTACCATCAAGCGTTGATTACGTCATGACGAGTGAAAGTAGTCCCACAGGCATTAAAGGACATTCATGATTAAACCCAACGTACTGTCGTTATTCAACTTCTACAAATCTTAGCAAACGGAATCTTTCCTGACAAAAACAAAGAATGAAGAAACAGGACTCACCATTTTGGCTAAGTTTAACCACCGGAATGGCCTTGAGCGCTTGCCAATCAGAGAAGTTGTTTACATACATTTTCTATTTTTATGGTCATGG